TACCGGATTCTCCTCCCAGAGAAAAATGCTCATTATTACCCCCACTTGACAGATCTGGAAAGGAGACATTAGCCCAAGGTCAAGCTCAAGATTGTCATCAGGGGATTCCAATGGGACTCTCCGTAACTCCTGACTCAGGGAGTTTTAATCACAGACCCCATTTGAGACGGACCCAATCCCACTTACCTCTCCATCCTCAGAGCATGGAGCCCACTGCCGGTCACACAGGAGGGGCTCCTGGGCACTGCTTGGTGAAATCCATGGGATAAGATGACTCTGGTTCCTATAATATGGAAACGCAACATCGTTTATGGAGATATAATGGACATACCCTAGAACGGGCCGCTTTAAAGTGTGCAATTCTGTGGGTGTTAGTGTATTCACAGTGCAACTATCATTCTAATCTAACTTTCAACATTTCCCTCCATTCCCATCTACCCAGCCCCCGGCAACCACAATATGCTTTCTGTCCCCGTGGATTTACTTCTTCTAACCGCTCACATAGTGGGACACTGTGCCAGGACAGGGGCAGAACGCGTTCTGTTTATCCATCAACTGAGAGGCCTTTGAGTTGTTCTCACTGTCCGGCTCTGACGAGGAATGCTGCTCTGAACACTCATGTACAGGTTTTCGTGGGAATGCGTGTTGTCATTTTTCTTGGAAGGAATTCCTCTAGGAATGCAATTGATGAGTCCCATGGTATGGATTTGTGATTGGTAAATACTTTCTCCTCTTCTAGGCCTGTCTTTTCTTTCTCTCAACGGTGTCTCTAGAAAGAGCAAAAAATGTTTAATGTTGAGAAAGTCCAATTTCCTGACTGTGATCCTTCCCAAAACACCTGCTGTGGTGGCTACTTTCCTGTAGGAGGACACCTTTACTATTATTAGAGAAATTCTCCCAAACTAGGAAAATAAATACCCATGAGTCTGTTGCAATATAAACTAAGCAAAGAGAGGAATCAAGATGAACTCCCAGGATTTTGATGAAGCAACTGGGTAGTTTCACTTTTTTCTCACTTCTCAAACCACCACCATATGGCTTCCACCCCCAACAGTGTGTTCAAACTTCCCAGTGACCTCATGTTCCCGTGCGTCGAGACGCTCCTCAGCCTTTATCTTAACGAACCTCTCCGTAGTTTATGCTGGGGCTGCTCACTTCCTCCTTGAAAACCGCTTTCATGTTGTTCCATGACAACACGCTTCTCTACGTCTCTTTCTCTCTAGAGCACCTTCTCCGTATTCAGGGCTAAGTCACCTTCCTCTCCCTGTTCTGCTGATGGAGGTGCACCCCTGGGCTCCACACCTGACTTATATCTTATAGACTTACACCTGTGTGTGTTTTCTTAAGATTTAAAAAATATTTTTATTGACTTCAGAGAGGAAGGGAGACAGAGATAGAAACCTCAATGATGGGAGAGAATCATTGATTGGCTACCTCCTGCACGCCCCACACTGGGGATCCAGCCCACAACCTTGCATCAAACCGTGACCTCCTGGTTCACAGATCAATACTCAACCACTAAGCCATGCCAGCCGGGCATTTAAAAAAGATTTTGAGAGAGAGAGAGAGAGAGAGAGAGAGAAACATTGATGTGAGCAAAATATTGATCGGCTGCCTCCTGCAACGCCCTCCACCTAGGATCAAGCAGGCAACCCAGGCATGTGCCCTGATCAGGAATCAAACCTGCAACCTTTCACTGCATGGAATGATGCTCAACCAACTGAGCCATACCAGCCAGGGCAACTATTGGCTCTTTGTTGCTGCTGTAGAAAACGCGGTACACTTAGCAGCTTAAAACCACAAAGTTACTGCCTCACAGTTTCTGTGGGTCAGAAGTCCAGATGCTGTAACTGGGTTCCCTGCTCAGCATCTTATCAGGCTAAATTGAAGTTATCAACTGAGGCTGTGGTTCTCAGCTACAGCCCAGGGTCGTCTTCCACACTCACTAGTCATTGGCCAAATTCATTTTCTTCTCATGCTTTCCACTTGGCTCCCTCCATTTTCAAGCCAGCAATGACAGTTGAATCTTTCTCATGCTTTGAGTCTCTCCGACTTTCTCTTCTGACTTCCTCTTTGTTTTTAAGGGCTCCTGTGACTACATTGGATCCACTTGGTAATCATCTAGCTTAAGATCAACTGTTTAGTAACTGTAATTACATCTGCAAAGTCTTTCTGCCATGTAATGTAACATAATTATGAGAGTAAATACCAGAGGGTAAAAGTCACGGGGGCAAAATTCTGCTTATCATGGACTTTGCTAGAGGATTTTAAATAAATTCTTGGGGTGAAAACCATATTGTGACAGTTTGTGAAGTGAGGTAAAAGTGAGCATAGATT